GATTTAAAAATAGGTATGATACTAGCAATTTTTAATTTCTCTAGTAATTTTTGATTTCTTTAGTAATTTTTAATTTCTCTATTTCTCTATATATATTTATTATATATATTTCTTTATTTCTCTATATCTAATTTTTAATTTCTCTTGTATTTTTTAATTTCTCTAGTATTTTTTAATTTCTCTAGTAATTTTTAATTTCTCTAGTAATTTTTAGTTTCTCTAGCAATTTTTAATTTTCTATTTATTAACTAACTTGATAGTAATAAACGCACTAATATTATTTCTTACCTGAACTTGATGCTGATTATAATATAATCTAATGTAATCTAGAGAAAAATTTATTCAAATCTGAATCTAGAGAAAAATTTACTCAATGTCTTTGCTTGTTTTTGGTTTTTTCTCTCCATATCTGATTTATCTGATCTCCACCATTATAACTCACCAACTTATTTTTTCAAATATTTAACTATAGTTAAATATTTGAAAAAATAAGTTGGTGAGTTATTATGGTGGAAAAAAAAACCAGTTTTCATATGACATCTAAAAATTTTTGTTATAAAGATTACTTTTAGCTGTAATTGTTTTTTTATTTAAATGCTGAGCAAATGCTTACAAAATCAATAGTCTAAAATATAAACTTTGGCGCCTCTAACATGTAAATATACAGTTACAATAAACATTTAACTCACAAAATATGATTTAAATAAACAATAAACTAACAAACTTATTCTTTCAAACAATCACCTAATTACTACTTTTAAATTTAATTATTTTTTTTTTCATTGAATTGCTGAGCAAATATTTACAAAATCAATAGTCTAGCATATAAACTTTGGCGTCCCTAATATGTAAATAACTCAGAACATGTACACATTAAAGACGCCAAAAGTTATATTTAACTTTTATTTTTCTAAATCCAAATTAAAATTTGAAAGAAAAGAGCCAGCGCGACGCCCCAGAAAAAACAAGCGCCCTATGCGACGGCTTAATTCGCATAGCCATTGCACCGGCCCTGTATATATAAGCAGGGCCAGCACGAGCAGGTAACACGTGGGGGAGGGGGAGTGCTATTACAACTTTTGCCAACTTAAAAAAAAAAAGTTCTTGTTTTTTAAAATTTGCCTACTGCCTTATCGACTTTACCCGATTGACTGTCTAAATTTACAGACTAACTTGTCAAATATGTCTACATTTACCGACTAACTAGTCAAAAGGGTCAAATTACAATATAAAACTCTGGATATAAATATAAAATCAAAATTTGAAGACATTAGAGAGAAATATTAACAGACAAATAGAACTATTACAAAGCAATAAAAGTTATAATACAAATTATTATACCGTAATAGTAGAAAACAAAAAAACAAACAAAAAAACAGTAATAATAAAATTAAAATAAATAAAAACTATATGGACAAATTTATATTATAATGAACAGTTTGTTTATTTAAAGATGGAAAAATAAAAAATATCGCGTTTTTCTATAAAATATGTTCACATTTATTGCTATTACGTTACTCAAGAAATATATTTTACGATCTAGAAAAATTTTCACAAGGACTTTTAACTGTAAATATTTTACAAATGCTGGAAAAGCTTTATGTTAAGAGTAAAAAAAACTTGTTTGGATATAAACTTCCTTAAAAACTGCAAAATATTTAAAGTGTATCTAAAGTACTTAGATTTTAATAGACCTCATGATAACCAGTCGGATATAATTTCGATAAAAAAGCGATTACTCAAAAGTGCGTTACATAAAAGAATCAACAAACAAAAATCTCTGTTGAACATATAAATGATTTAAAATCTCAAGTAAAAAACAATTGCGCAACTATTCAGTAGTATTTTTTGTTAAAAGTAGTTAATAATAACATTAAGAAAAAAAATCTTTCTGTTATTGAAACTCACAAGAAGAAATTATGCTCGCTCACAAAATATACTAGCCTTCTATCTAAAGGAAGACTAGTAACATTTGTGAAAAACTTTACTTCCTTCCTTCTACATTTTGTTCATAAAATGTCATCATACACTTTACAACAAGATGAACTAGAATTAATAAATAACGGTCTTAATTTTGCTACCGCCAGTATTTATAAAAAAAAAACAGACGTTTGCTCAATTTGATAGAATTGCACAGTTTCTCAATACTCAGCTTAGAAGTAGTGATTCTGAACCTTAACTCTAAAGCGAACTTTCTCATTTAGCAAATAATTATGTATATAAATACACACCATCTGAAGGTTGGATAAGGAAAAAAAAAATATTGAAGAGACTTAAGAAAAATGGAAACATTGTAATCACAAAACCAGACAAAGGGAATGGTATAATTACTTTTAATAAAGTTGATTATATCTTTAACTAATATTATAAGTGATAAAACTAAATTTAAGGAATTAAAAGATGATCCAACTGTTAAAAGAGAACAATCTTTACAAGAGTATCTTTTGAAACTTAAAAAACGTAAATATTTTGAAAATGATGTTTACAATAAAATTTATCCTGTTGGTTTACAAACAGCAAGAATTTATGCTTTACCTAAGTTTCACAAACTCAGTGAAGATTCTTCTCTACCACCTTTTAGACCAACTATTTCAACAATCGGGGCATATAATTATAAACTTGCCAAATATCTTTCTGATTTATTGTCTCCTTATATACTTAAATTTATTCCACATATTCCACATATGACTCTTTTTCTTTTGTTGAAAAATTAAAGCAAGTTGATATAACTAACAAATATATAGTTTCCTATGATGTTGAAAGTTTATTTACTAAAATTCTACTTAATGAGACTATAAGTATAGCTACTGATTTATACTTTAAAGATAATCCTGTTTAAAATATTTTTTTAAAGCTCAGTTCAAAAAATTACTTTTTTTTTTTTTAATTTATTATTATTATTTTTTTTTTTACTATAACGGTATTATATTTCGTATTATAATTTTTGTTGGTTTGTAACAATTCCCTTTGTCTGTTGATATTTCTATGTAATGTCTTCAAATTTTTATTTTATATTTATATCCAGAGTTTTTAATTGTAGTTTTATATTTTGAAAATGTAGTATGTTAACTATGAAACATGTCAAGATTAAAAAATATTGTTTTTCTTTGAAATATGTTCACATATATTGCTATTGCGTTGCTCAAGAAATTTATGTGCCCAGGGCAAGCATTAGTCATAAACATATGACTATTGGAGTCTTTACGAACTAAAAAAAGATAACAATCAACTCTAAGATCACAAGACAAGACATTTAAACTCAAATTAGTCACACAAAGAGCAAGAATGTTTGGTCTAGACTCAGCAGAAAAAGCTTACTTCGAAGACCAAAAATATTAGAAAAGAATAGATTTAGAAAACTTGGTGATCACCAGGCCCGCCAAGAGGTTTTTTTATGCCCGGGTCCAATAGTTTTAATAAATGCCCTTTAATACTTCTGGTATAAAAATGATAAACAGAAAATAACTTTGTATAGTTATTTTTTTTTACATTCATAAAAATCTAAAATCACATTTTTTAAATCAATTCCTAATAGACGAACACATTATTGTTATAGCGGCTTCATAGTGGCAAAATTTGAAATAACTTCTTTATAAGAAACGTTATTTGCTAAATCTGATCTTAGAAGACTCACGCTGTTAACTGCCATCAAAGATTTAAACAAAAAAGTAGTGAAAATAACAAACTCAAAAAAATTTATCCATTTTATTAAATAATACACTTTAGTACTACTTTTGCTTTAACTTTTTTAGACGATGTAATGATTTCAAGATCACTCTTAGCTTTTTTGCTAGTGGCTTGACTGCTTGCCCAGTGGGCATTTCGACGTCGAACGAACGTCGAGCGACGTCGGATCTCGACGTCGGATCGACGTTGGGTTTACGTTGGAAATGGAAATGTTATTTGACGTCGGATAAACTGACATCGCGCGACGTCGGCATTCCGATGTAAATCCAACGTGTTTTTTGAAAACTAAAAAACGTTGCCTTAGGTAGGAATTGAACCTCGGCCTATAGATCCTAAATCCTACGCGCTTACCACTACACCACAGGTACATATTAATTATTGAGTTTATTTAGTAATTTATACTTGTAGCTATTTGGGAATTATTACTTTGATAAGAAATAATTTTGTTTAAATATTATATAAATATTAAAACGAATAGTTATATATTATAAAAAATGTATACTCGAAAATGTTAATAGTTAAAAAACTATGCTAGTGCATCATACAAAATCTCATGGTGTTTTATCAACCATTATTCAAACTTCTTTCCATTAATAAAAAACACGCTTAGTTCACATATTTATTGAAGAGCGCAACTGCACACATATTGTTGGGTTTGGATTAAATTTTCATCAGCGATGTCTTACGACGTTGTTCCGACGTCGTTTTAAGGACGTTGGATTGACGTCGGAAGACGTCAAAGACATCGGAGTACGTTAATATTATGACGTTGCCCGACGTCTTTTTATCGACGTTGGATCGATGTCAGTACTGCGACGTTTTTTGGACGTCTTTTAAAAGATGTCGGAACAACGTCAAAATACATCGAAACAACGTCAGGGGATGTTGAGATAAAGACATCGCCCGACGTCATTTTACTGACATCGGAACAACGTCGGAATAAGTCTTTTGACATCGCTGATGAAAATCGTACGTAAATCCGACGTCGGATTGACGTCGGGTGCCCACTGGGTGACTACTTCAATTCTTGAGCTCCACTGTTTAACAAAAAGTTTATGCATTGCTAGGCCTGTATCCAGCCTAGTTCGTTGGATTTTTCCAACGAACTAGGCCACAGTTGGGGCTGGTTTGATTTAGTTTTTTAATTTTTTGTAAAAACGTTAGTGTAGTTCATTCATTGACTTTAAATATCCTTCTTAAATAATTTTTTTTTTTTTCTCTATCAAAATATTGTTGTTATTATTATTATTACTATTATTATTATTATTATTTTTATTACTTTTATTATTCTGATGGTTATTAGTTGCTTTTAGTGATATGAAAAACCAGCAAAAAATAAATCAAGAAAAAAACAACGAGTCTGAACTTGAATATTTAAAAGGTAACTTTTAATTTCAACGCTTGATATTTTTTATTATTTTTTTATTTTATTATTTTAACAGCGTCTGTATCTTTAAGTTGAAAAATTTTCAAGCGATGTGCTCGATACAATTGCAAACGAGTTGCAAAATGATTGGATAAAACTTGCTCGTTTTTTGGGCATCAGTAAGAAAGAAATAAGAAGAGTTAAGCTTGAGTTTAAAACAGCTCGCGAACAAAGTTATGAAATATTGCATAGTTGGTGTAGATACAACCCAGATAAAACATGGAACGACTTGAAATCTGTTTTAAAATTTTGTGAATGTAAAGACGCCATTAATAAATGTGAAAGAAGTAAGTTTATTATCACCTTTATTTTAGCTTAATAGTATTTATGGATCCTTTTCTTTTTGATCTTAGATTTTATAAAGCTTTTAAACAACCCAGTAAGCACAGCGACGTGATAAAAATGTGCGTTTCATGTTACTTTTGGCACGTGACTTTTTGGTCCCCATGAAATGACCAAAAAACGTGATTTTTGGACGTGCTTTTCACATGATTTTTGGTATGTGATATCTACGTGACTTTTTGTTCCTTATTTAATGTCCTAATAACGTGACTTATAGGGTGTGCTTTTCACCTTATTTTTGGTACGAGATTTTTAGGTGACATTTTGGTCCCTATGAAATGAACAAAATTGTTTATTTCATTAAGACTGAAAAAAACCCCGTAATTTGCCGTAAATTTGTACCCCACATGGTGTGGGTACAAATTTACGGCAAAAGCATCCCCCACCTTTTTATATATATAAACATATGAAATGGAGGAGAGTAAGTAATAGATACAAAAAACGCTGCGCCTATAATGAGGTTTTATGTAGTTGGTTATTCTACCAATTAAACCAAATATTGGTTAATCTACCAATCCTTTATTGATAATGCAAATTTAGATGATTTTTTTTTTTAAACATACATTTCTTTATATATTTTGTTTTGTTATTATGTATAAATAAATAGATTTCCATTTGAATGAATGCCAAAGTGGTTAAGTGGTTCGAATGGGTTTAAATCCTTTCCTTTACACTTAACTTTTTAAAAAATTTTTTACAAAGGTTTTTAAAATTTCTAAAAACATGATTCACCTTAAAAATTTGTTGAGCATATGTCACGGTACTTAAGTTTAAAATGATTTTTTTTAAAAATTAAAACGGCAATAATCCTAATAAGCTGCAGATTCGAAAAAAAAATTAAAGACTTACTAAAGAAAAAAGTAACCACTGCCCCGTTTTTTTTTTTTTTTTTTTTTTTTTATAGAAGTTTGTTTTATGGGTCACGACAACAAAAATTAAAAATAAAGCAAGCTGATGATTTGAACTTGCCACTCGGCGACCTTAAAATTTTCAAAACAGTACGGGGGTTAAAAAAGTTTTTTTTTATAAAACATAATTAAAAGATTTTAAGTTTATATTTAAATGAAACCATTATGTTAAACTTAATACTTCTTAAAATATTTAAAGGTTAAAGTTTAACTTTTATATTTAATATTGATATAATAAGGAAATTTAGAGTTATACTGCTATTAATTCACGCCCCCATTAAACATTCAAAACCAAGTGCGCAATGACAACACAATTTAAATAACCATTAAAATAATATTATACTCTTTTTTTTTTGGCTTTATATACTTTTTGGCTTATCCTTTATCTAAACCTTAAAATAAGGGCTCGTCGATAAATTACTCAACGTTAGATTTCACAATTAAAGAAAACAGAAATTATCTAAATTTTTAGAACTCATTAAGTTTAATGAAAATTGTCATTCTAAAGAACTAAAGATCTCTTCTACTTTTTAAAAAATGAATTTAGCGTTGCATAATTTTTAAACGATTCCATAGCGTTTTATTAATTTTCTGCTCTTAAAGTAGTTTTTCAGAACAAAATTATTTTACTTGAAAGTATTGAAGTAAATAAGGAATAGGTATAGAAATAATCGGTGTAAAATAGGTATGTATAGGAATAGTAGGTTTGGTATAGACCCGTATTTTACGGATTTGAAAAGCTAGGATATATAACGAAAAGATATTAAAAAGTTAGGTTTGAAATAGACTTACAAAGACCCGTATTTTTACGGGTCCGATCTAAGCTATTATATATATATATATATATATATATATATATATATATATATATATATATATATATATATATATATATATATATATATAAATATATATATATATATATAAATATATATATATATATATATATATATAAATATATATATATATATATATATATAAATATATATATATATATATATATATATATATATATATATATATATATATATATATACAGGCTTGGTCGGGAAGCGGGAGCGATCGCTCTCGAATACTGACCACGGAAATTATATTTAGTTGCGTAAAACTGGCCAGGTTTTTTAGTCGTTTTGAGAACATTAAAGTTTATGTACGAAACAAAAAATTTTTGTTTTACGGACATACATGGAAACATAAAAACTTGAATGTTCTCAAAACATCTTTGAGCGCAAGAATAAAAAGAATATTTGCGAACACTAAAAAACTGCCAAATCAACGAACAAACTAATTCTATTGGTTTAAAAAATACGCTGATTAAGCGAAATAAAGTTTTAGAGTATTCTGTTGAAATGTTTTTGAATTTGTATTATTCACGATTTGTTACGTTTTGAGATTTCTACCATAAATTGTTTTAAAAATATTTATTATTTGTTTACAAAAATAAATGTTTTATATATATATATATTAATTAAGTTGTCAAAATTTTAAAAGTTTATTATAAATCATAGATTTTATTAGTATATTCTTATTTTTTATTTTAAAAGAGATTGTATTCTTTATGTAAATGTAACTTGGTGTATTTGTTTTTTATCGTAATGTATCTTTTAAAGCAATTTTCATGATTTAAACAAAGACTTACAAAAATAATTGCGTTTTCAATGAAGTTATAATCGTTAAAGTTAATAAAACTAATTATGTAACAAACATATAAGAAGTTTCTGGTTATTAAACACAAAGAACCCATACAAAGTAACTCGCGGATGAACAAGCATCGCGCCTGAGGTCACGACAGAACACAAATATATATAGCAAATAATTAGATTTAAAGAAAAGTTTCTAGATATAGGTTTACTAACTCTTATTATTTTCGCTTAAATTGCCATTCTTAAAACTCGTTATAGTTTTTGCTGCTTTAAATACTAATTAAAATTAAAAAGCCCACTCATTAAACATCAGCGATATTGTGAAGCAGTTTCGCTTCCTGGTCATTAAGTATTTTTAACCTTTTCAGTTGATTTCTATCTTGATAATTTAATTCTTATAGTAATTCAATGATTTAATTATTTCATTTGTTTATCTTACTGAGAAGAATCGCTTTAAATATGTTAAACTTTTCAAACTACGCGAAACATAAAATAGGTATTAAAAAAATTAACTTTTTTATTTATAAAATAAATTAAGCTTAAGTAAAACTAAAACTTGCAAACTTAGTTAAATAAAGAATATTTGTTTCCCTTTTAAACAATCGTAAGTTGTTACTTTATATAAAAAACATCGCTTAATTTTATAAAAAAAATTGTAAAAAAGAGCGATGTTTCGAAAATATTTGTTCTAAATGTAATTTATATACATTTATAAATGTAATTTATACACTATGTCATTTAGAAAAAAATAATATATATATATATATATATATATATATATATATATATATATATATATATATATATATATATATATATATATATATATATATATATATATATATATATATATATATATATATGTATATATATATATATATATATATATATATATATATATATATATATATATATATATATATATATATATATATATATATATATATATATATATATATATTTATACCGAAGTACCAGGAATTAGCATATAACTTATGTTTTTAATAATATAGATAATATAGTTTTGCAACTAGAGTTTAATGTGTTTCCACAATCATTAAGCAAGTAGCAGAAAAATTAATTTAGCTAAAAATTTTGTTTAGAAAATTATGGTATTTATTTAGGTTTTGAACGGAAACTTGAAAATAATTAGACAATGGTTGTAAATTATTTATTAGTAATTAGTATATAAAACTCATAAAAATTTATAATTTAGGTTATTCAAATTTAATTAGACTGTTAAAAAAAAATTGGAATTTAGATATTTAAAATTTAAAGAGGTAAAATAAATTATGTTGAATGCATAATTTATAAATAACTTTAGATTTTTAAGAAAAAATAGAAAATTATTAAAAAAAAAAATTAATAAAAAATAAAAAAAATAAAAAAACTATTAGTGAATGTTATTAGTTAATAAGGTTTGTAGCTGTCAATGTAATTTTTTAGTAAATATTTTATTAAATATTTCATAAGGTTTAGGGTGGCGCTAAAAACAACTTTTTTTGAAAATATCTGCTGACACATCCTAAATGTGTTCTTTATAATTAAATAATACTGAATTTAAAAAAGATTTGAATAAAAAACTTTTTGGGGGTGCTTTAAGAAACTTTTTTTTTTTCAACAATATTTTTTTAATTATAATTTTTTTCTCGTTTTTTTGTTTTTTTTTTAATGAACAAATTTAAAAAAAAAAAGAGAAAAAAATTATTAGACAATGGGCTTTTGATATTTTTATGTAATTTCACTTCATTTGAGACCTATCATGACATGTTTTTGGAAAACTTATTTTTTGATAATATTATGAACCTGTTTAATGTTTAAGGGTCTTGTGGCATTCCCTAAATATATTTTTTAATCAAAAATATTTCAAATCCATACTTATTTAATTATATAGGACACATTTAGGAGGTGTCAACAGATATTCAAAAAAAGTTCTATTTAGAACCACGCTAATATATATATATATATATATATATATATATATATATATATATATATATATATATATATATATATATATATATATATATATATATATATATACATATATATATATATGTATATATATATATATATATATATATATATATATATATATATATATATATATATACATATATATATATATATATATATATATATATATATATATATATATATATATATATATATATATATATATATATATATATATATTTATATATATATATATATATATATATATATATATATATATATATATATATATATATATGTATAAATATATATAAATATATATATATACATATATATATATATATATATATATATATATATATATATATATATATATATATATATATATATATATATATATATATATATATATATATATATATATATATATATATATAT